GCAGACCAATCGACTATTAGTGTCCATAAATTTTACATCCTAGTTATTATCAATGTTAATTTTTTGTAAATAAAAACTGTTCTATTCCCTTTAATTACCTCCTAACTCGTCATGCTCTACGTCAATCACTACTGATGAAATGGGAGTATCCTGTACATTCTGAAATATTCCATCTGCTGAGTATAAACGAATCAGGGAAATCACTGCTATAAAGACTCACCAAGGCTTGTTTATTTGGCTTTATTATTTGGAAAAAATTTACTCTGGTATAAATACTGTTGCCCATACGAACACAAGTGTTCCACAGGGACCTGTTGGTTCAGTTTCGATTAGACCTATATATATATATATATATATATATATATATATATATATATATATATATATATATATTATACAGTCAACACCAATCTTTACAGATACGGCGCCAAAAATAACCATGGGTGAACGAAAACAAATACAGGTAAGAAAATTGTTTCCCCCAATTTTCCCAATCTACCTTATGTGATCTTTGTTGACACACAAAACATGTCCAGTATCTGCCTTAAAGAATGAGGGCTTAAAGGGCCGAAGTAAATCACCGCATAAAAATACGAATGAAATGGATTTTGACAAGTCATTATGAATTCTTTCAGAAGTTGACCGCGGAAACATAACATACGAGGTCAAATGGATGCATATCCGGGCCTTTTGACTAGGTAATAGGTAAAACTTGAGGCGAAAAACACAGGAGGAAAACCGTCTTGATTTATTGAAAACAGAAATATTGTGGTAATACCAAGTGAGATCTACGTTAAAGATAGCACCAAAATACCTAATAGATGTTTGGCCAGCTAAATGTTTGTCATATATAAATATATCAGAACAAGCACAGGCTATGTTATTGTATCGGATTCTCTTCTGCAAGGAACAAACATCTCTACATTTGTCCATAATTAAGTTGAAATTGCTATACCATTCCATAATTTGTTGGTCTAAATCTTCGAGAGAGTAAGGCAGTGTATTTTATAGATGAGGGATCAGAAAAAACGGGTAATTTAGATATCGCCTTGTTAAACACCAAGAGAGGATCTTAATGGAGCAGAGACGTGAACAGGGAAACGAGTGAATTACTGGAGGCTTGTGAAATAGTCTAGAAGAAGGAAGATCATGGAAAAGGGGAAATTGCTGTCGCTGCAAGTGGAGAGATACCAGTTCACCAGTTCCTAAAACCACCAAAAGCATCGCTGTAATCAACGAAACAAATTCCACTCTGCTCTATCTCCATCTTTTTCATTCTCTCTTTTCCCATAGGGTCAAATCGCGCAACGCGCCCCCTCCCCCTCGACTTAGTTCGCAACCGTCAATCTAAGGGGCTTGGAAGCCGAGTTTTGGACACAACTGAAGCAATCAGAATCGACCTACGTAATCCCCTCTTTGTTTCCACAAGCAATTCGTAAAAAAAGCACTGGGTCTTCAATGGCCACCCTCACACACAGCACAGTTATCCTCCCTGATAACCCTAAATAATACTTGTTTAGGAACAAATAATGTCATTTTTTGTCATTCTGCAATAAGTCTTTTCCAACCAAACATGATAC